TTATAAGGTTGCGTAGAGTTTTCGCATGGATATGAAGTATTAAATATAGTATGTAGAAGTACTTTCACGAACAATTGCTATGAGTTTGTAATTTGTCTCTTTTTGTACTTCATCCAGTGGTGCTCCTCACTTGAACATTAATCTTCAAATGAATTATTGGCCAGCCCTTTCTAGCAACCTACAAGAGTGTCAAGAGCCCTTATTTGATTTCATTTCGTCTTTGTCAGCCAATGGTAAAAAAACTGCAAAGGTATTTTGTTCTTTTCCCTCTTGCTTTCATATTATTCTTGGCATTGTATTTAAGAAAGAGATCCACCCTTTCCGCTATTAGTAACTTTATATCCTTTATAGCAAAACAAGAAGACAAGAAAATATAGTCTACCGTATTACCATTTGCCCACCATGCCCTGAATTTTATATGCTCTATCCATATTTTCCTTTGATCTTTTGCATACAGGTGAACTATGAAACAAATGGTTGGGTTGCACATCAAGTTTCTGACATATGGGCTAAAACATCACCAGATAGAGGTGAGGCTGTTTGGGCTTTATGGCCTATGGGTGGAGCTTGGCTTTGTGCCCATTTATGGGAGCATTATACTTATACAATGGACAAAGTAAGTTCAGATCTTTCAGTAAAGTATCTAAGCCTCGATTTAAAAGTATTGACTCAAAACTGATCTTGTGAAACGAGTTGTTTATACTTGTACAGTTGCCTATTCAGACGGATTAATTTTAGATAGCTATTGAAATTATTGATGATGAACTGTTATACTTGTACAGTTGCCTATTTCATGAATGCAATTGTCTGCTTCTATTTTCATGGCATAACTATGTGTTGGACCTGAAATATTGAAAGAGGTTATTCATCTTCATATCATGATAGGGTTCTCTATATGACCAGTTGATCTATTTTTTGTTATTATGATTTATGAACTCAATATAATTTCAAAATTGATACAAATCCAAATATTGCCTTGTTCAGCTGTGACAATTAATAATTCCAGGGAGCAACATACTGTTTTCAAATGGATTTTCAAACCACAACCAACAACTTCAATTATAGATTTCAAGTTTCATTTAAGGATGGAACTTATTTACTGCTATTATTACCAACGAACCTTTGAGGTTATAAATATAGACTAGTTATTAGATACCCATTATCATGGCACATATAGCTATATTTTTCCTGTAAATGTTATATTAGTAAATGTATCTGTTTTGTGTAGTATCTTGTGTGTATTAATTACTAGGTAAGTGATGGTTGATTTTGTTTTATTTTTTTTACATTAGGATTTTCTTAAAAATAAAGCATACCCTTTGTTGGAAGAATGTGCATCATTTTTGTTGGATTGGTTGATTGAAGGCCGTGGTGGATTATTAGAAACTAACCCATCAACTTCACCAGAGCACATGTTCACTGCACCAGACGGAAAGCCTGCTAGTGTGAGCTACTCATCAACCATGGACATTTCAATCATAAAAGAAGTTTTCTCTATAATCATTTCTGCCGCTGAGGTGAGAATGATCTTAATACTCAAACCAATACTAGTTTCATATTATCCCAATTTTGTCTTGGTCACTAAATATCTGAAAAACAGGTTTTGGGAAGACACGATGACGCAATCATCAAAAGAGTCACTGTGTATCAGTCTAAGCTTCCTCCGACAAAACGTTCTAGAGATGGTTCCATTATGGAATGGGTAAGAAATTATATTTATTATTTGTATTCCTTCCTTCCATCCATTTAATATCCATTTGGCCAGTTCTTGTCATCTGATATTTTGTTCTGATTTGCAACGAACAAGTTTGACTGTTTGCCAGCAATTCCATGTTTACTATAGCGCCTTATTTTATTTTTCAGGCAGAAGATTTTGAGGACCCAGATGTACATCATCGACATGTTTCACATCTGTTTGGACTATTTCCAGGGCACACGATTAGTCTTGAGCAAACTCCAGTCCTCTGTAAAGCTGTGGAATCTAGTCTAATTAAAAGAGGTCTTGTATGAGAACTTTATGAGCTAAAATCATTCAAGAGATAATATTTTTTTCATGCAATATGTCTGGAACTTATTCATTATGTTGAAATTTCAGATTCTTAGATAATTTGAAACAGCCATATATAATTATTAATAGGTTTAATTACTCATTTTCCCCCCATAAATTTACAACTTTTAGTCTCTATACTTAAAAATGATTTTCCATTTAGTAACTAAACTTTTGATGATCATTTTAATTCTTTTTAGTCTCTGAGACTAACACGGATTAAAAATGGTTGTATAGTAATTAAAACACTCTCTAATAGTTGTCTTTTTGCTTATGAATAGCTGAAGTGATTTTTTGTGTTGAGACTAGAGAGATTATTTTCAACTATGTGTCAGCTTAAAGCCTCTCTAGTTAGTTTAGTTGACGACTGTAACGGTTCTCCAGGAATTATTTTTACTTCTACGAAAGCAGGGATTAGTATGTTTATGTTCAACCTTATATAGGACGAGATACATAATGTAAATCTGTGTTCTTTTTCGTTCAATAGTAAACATTCTCACTCTGTATTACAGGAGATGATGGCCCAGGATGGTCGACAACTTGGAAAGCTTCATTGTGGGCACATCTTCATAATAGTGAGCATGCGTATCGTATGATAAAACACTTGATTGTCTTGGTAGACCCTGATCATGAAAGTGATTACGAAGGAGGACTTTATAGCAACCTGTTCACAACACATCCCCCTTTTCAGATTGATGCTAACTTTGGGTAAGGCTCAATTTTTTGTAAGGACTGTAAGGTATCTTGTCAATTGCACTTTCATCACTTAAAAAGCTTGGGCTGTATATTTTTTCTCTCTCATATCTGGGTAAGGAAGGAGTAGTTCTGCTGTTGCAGAAACTGTTAAGTTTCAATACCAAGAAACTAAGTAGAATTTCAATTTCTATACGTCATGTTAAGGCTTCAACTTTTGTTTCATGCGTTCCCTGTTTTTTGATAAATCTGCCTACTGATGCAAGTTTTTTCCCTGTTTTTAAACATTTGTGTGGTTATCATATCTTGTTGAATATATACCATTGCATCTTATCAACATTATAACCCAGGACTTCCCTTAATTTCTTCTATAACATCTTACAGAGCATAACTGAGCAATTCCATAACTGTGAAAAAATTCATTACATTCTAAATCTTTAAGTGGACCCTCAGGAATAGTAGTATTGTGTTTACTTCACCCATATTCTTGGTAGTTAAATGCACAAATAGAAACGTGGCCTGGATGAGACTATTGCTTTAGCAACCACGTGAACTCCTGATAGAAAAAAAACTCTTTTTGGTGGCAGTTTTTCTGGAGCAATAGCAGAAATGCTTGTTCAAAGCACAATGAAGGACCTTTACTTGCTTCCGGCATTGCCACGCGATAAATGGGCCAATGGTTGTGTGAAAGGATTGAAAGCTCGTGGCGGGGTAACAGTCAACATTTGCTGGAAAGAAGGAGATCTAAGTGAAGTTGGGCTTTGGTCAGAAAAGCTGAATTCCCAAGTAAGACTACATTATAGAGGAACCGTGGTCTTAACAAGTTTATCACCTGGCAGAGTTTACTCATATAATAACCTATTGAAGTGCGTGAAGACATACTCTCTCCCTCAGAAAAATTAATCCTTCGATATTCTAATAATACTTCTAAGTAACAGGCATTGCTTTTTGCAATTTGTCATGGGTTCAATGTTGGATGCAGTTTACTGGATCAAGATACATTTATCTTGCTTCCAAAGATTATTCTTTTCATATAGCCGCTGAGGATGTAATTTAACCAATATTTTGTTTTCATTGATGCATTTATTTTATGGTTTGATGCGTAAAATCTGTGTAATGCTGTTGTCATTTTAGTATTCAACTTCACTCGAATTCAATGGATCATAGATATTCTGCTGATTGTGAATATGTAGAGGGATGTTGTCTAGGTGTTTATGTTTGAATATGAATTGGGAGAATTAAAAAGGGTTTATTTCCAATCAGCATTCTTTTTCTTTCCTCCTCAATGTGTATTGGAATTTGCTGCATGGAAGTTTATTAAGCATATTTCAATTTTTTTTTATCTAAACTAAACACAGGTCAGGCTTTCCAAATTAGAGTTCAGGTTGAGCAATGTGACTTTGTCATGGCTCTCATTTTCCCAAGAGCTTTTAAGAATGTAAATAATAATAAAAGAAAGACTAGAGTGCGCTTTTACCAATATAAATAATACACTTTTCAGATTATAATATATGGAAGTGTAATGCACGAGAGGTTCCACAAGAAAATTGTGGAATGTATAAAGAAAAATTCCTTTTTGTAGATGATAAGTTAAATAGATTAAAAAAGTCATAAGTTAAGTGCATGATATACAAACTAATAAAAAATGTAAGATTATCAGAATAATAAGATTTGATCATGTTATTTAATTAAAATTTAGTTTTATTTTAATACTTTTGCATATTATTAAGCTGAACTTTTAATGCATTGTTGAGACGGGAGACACGTAAAAGATAAATCATAATGAGACTAGAAAAAGTTTAGAAATTGAGTGGCTGTGGTGTTTAAAATTATTTGGATTTAAGAAATAGACGGAGAAAAAATGTTTATTAATTTTTTTATTTGGATGGGAAGCTTAAGGAAATTAAGCAATTTTTATTGTAAAGATGTCAATGACTTTTGCATTCATAGTTTTAAATTTTAATTAAATATTCAATTGAAGTAATATATATAAAAAAATTATACAAAAAAATTGGATAAAAATGATCCTGACCTGATTGATACCGGTCATTATTAATCATAAAATTATACAAAAATTATATTGTAAATTATACAAAAATTAATTTAGGTTAAAATAAAAGTTTATTTATCATGCTTTCTTTTAGAAACATTTATGGAGTTTATAAAAGAAAAATGTCCAAAAAAAATTAGAGAAAACCGTTACAAGGTTAAAAATCGGAAGCAACTGAAAGCGACATCGTTTTATATCCATGATATACCTAAGCAAAGCAAAACCTATGATTCTCACACTCACTCAATAGACCAGCCACCACTCCTAAACCCTTGCAAAGCCCTAAAACATCTCAGATTGGATTGCAATGGCTTGGCGTTCTGGTTCTCTCTCTCGTTCCTTAATGTCCACAGCTAGGGCTTCTCTCCGGCCGTCGGCACCGTCATCCCTTCCCCGCCTCCGTCCGCCTCCAGTCACTGCCCCTCGCGTCCAGTCCCGCCGCTTTTCCATGCCGGCTACCAGGTTTCGCTTTTCGCCGATTTTCTGTGTCTTCTTATTTAACGATAACTAAAATGATATCGTTTCAAAACGAATTGCTAATCTGCCATCGTTTTAATTTCTTCAATTTGGAATTAATTTTGTAATTTGTTGCATTCTGAATTATATTGAGAATTTGTATTTTCTTTTTTATCAGGAATCTGGGGCAATTGGGCTGCACACAATCACTTTTACCTCTGCAAAGTACAATGGCTATTACCTGCATGACGTCACACGTTGCTGTCAGTGCTCGTGCCTGTTGCGAGCTGTCCCATGGTACCTTCCGTCGTTCTTGTCAAGATCGCTAGTAGTCTCTTTGTGAGTCTTGCTGGTTCTAGGATGCATGAAAATTGAGAATGTGAAAATGGTTTATGTTGTTTTGTTTTTAAGCATATCATTCCATTGCCTCACCCAAAAATCTTACTAATGTTCTGGATTATATATAAAAGCCTTATATTATAGGAATGATGGATGGTAAATTTAGGTAGTCTTTTGTTGCTTTATGCGAAGACATGAGTTGGGTAGAATTTGTGAGTTTGTCTAGCTTGGCTCATAAGAAGGTATTAAGATTCAAATTTATAGGGAATGGAAAAGATGGGTGATGCGCCAGGACATTGATCATCTTCCAATGGCGAGAGAAGAATGCTGCATAGTAGGTTCTTTTTTTGTTTTCCTTCGTTCAAAATTATAAATTCAGTAATGTTTTCGGTTAAACCATATAAAAGTGATTGGTTATTCTTGGAGATGAACTGAGGCAGTAGTCAGATAAGCAAGTGTTTTTTTGAGTTATTTTCTTTGAGCGTGCATTTTTGTCTATCTATTGCTTGGATTCTTCATTATTAATCTCAGTATGGAAAAATCTCATGCGTTGAGCATTTATTGTATCTCATTTTACTTTTGCTGGCCTTTCTATTCAATTGTTTTTTACCCAAATATAAAATATTTTACGGTTTTCAACAAGATTTGCGGAGGCTTCCCGCCAAAAATCACTTGGATGAACTATTTGAGCATTTTTTTTGTCAGTTTATTGAATTCCATGCACACGTTTGCTTAGTATACCAGAAATAAAATCCATGCCAGAGTCATCCTTGAAATGGCTGTATGTCCAGCCCTTTCATTAGTTTTATAATGCTACTAATGAGTAAACTACATTCCTTTCACAGGTGATCCTGATTCCTGAGGTGAGGTTCTAAGTCCCCATTGATTATTTTGGTTAAAAAAACTAAAATACCTCCTTGACCCAACTTCAAATCCTTTGCTCTGAAAGATGAGATTTTTATGCTATAGAGATTGCTGCCTTGAAATTCTTCCTACGAAGACAATTTGAAAGTCTCGGGCAGCTAAGCATGGTTGTCAAAAACCACAGTCTGTCCTTTCATGTAAAGGATGATTACAACCTTGGCTTGTTCCTTTATATGATAAGTGTTCTCCAAGTGTTTTTATCATAAAAAGGAACATGTCGAGATTGCTTACTACTACTTTTAGTTGTTGCATTCTTAGTTCGTCATAGTATTTACTGGCTTATCACCACAGGCATTTTTGGAAATTCTTGCTATTTTGGCGGTTTCAATATAACAGATACAATGCATGCACACGGAATATATAATTTCCGAAAAACAATGTCCTTTGTGTAATGAAAACTCGCGAGCAAAATAATCTGAATTTGTCTAAAATCTTTAATGCCATGTAATCTCAGACTTACGCTGTTATGATTTCCTTTGCTCTTGCAGGTACGTGAGGAAGCTGTTGAACTTTCATAGTTGCCTTTGAGGATACGGGTGGCCAATAATTATGAGTAGTGTTTTCTGCGAAGTAACAGTTGTTGGACTATCGAATTAGACTCATCGGTTATGTTATTATCATCTGTGGTACTTATTCAACACTGAAAACCATTTTTCTCCCCAAATCCGAACAACATTCAGGATTAGTTCTTTATTCTTCTTGTATCCAGCTTTGTTTAATTGCTGTACATTTTTGGTCTTTTAAATATTTTTCGAAATAATGCCTGTGGTTGATCACTTATCAAGCAATGCACTAAATTAGCCATGAACGAGTTTTCTTGGCCCTTATTGCAGACAACTTGTATCAAATTATAATCGAAGTAGAAGTTATGTTGGTTGAGGTTAAACTAAGATTAATGGTAGTTTACATAGGAATTTAGTTATGCAATTTTTTGGAAGGCAATTAAGCTTGTATTTTTAATGATATGTTTAATCATTTTCTTGGACATGTTATTTGTTTCAATTGATTCTAGTGTCATACATGAATTAAACTTTATATATTTGTTTTTTACTTTGAAATTATATTATATTTAATAAAACATTTAACATTTGATCAATCAATTATAGCTTTAATGTATAAAAGCATAAAAAAGATGTTAATCTACAAATATAATAAATTTATTATGCTTTTACTGTAAAAGTTTACACGATAGTAATACAGAGTTAAGCTGCAAACAAGTCTTATACTTTGCAGTATTTACAAGAATAGTCTCTGTCTTGATATTTGTATTTTTAAAGTATTTGTTCTTGTCTAAATATTTGTATGACCGTGTAGATTTGGATGAGTAGTAAATTTGAAACTATGTAAATATTAAAAACTGCCGCAGCGAAATTAATGAAGTATTCTTAATCATCCAAGTGACATTACCCAACAGCAAGTACAGAATTCCAATAGGACAACTAACTAAAAATAACAACACAACTGTTAAATTATGTCCAAAATCTTTCAAAAAATAGGAAATGTTTTTTATTTACAAATTTACTGAACACATAAGATTTTTGAAGCGTCCATTAGCATAGAAAATAAGATAAAGACTAAAATATGAAAGATAATATAAGATAAAGACTAAAATATACCAACTTAGAACGAATAATATAAGGAAGGCTAAAATATAACATTAATGTCAAAGAATTGAAATTATTCCCTTGAAAGTGGCAACTTAAAATTTCATATTTCAAAGAAAAGTCCAAAGTAATTTTATGGGATAATTACTAAGACATATTAAGCATCTAAAATATTCAATAAAATATATACCACACAAACTACACTGTTCTTTGCATCCTCAAAATTATATATCCCTCTTTAGCAGAAAATTATTTTCTTAAAGTCGAACATTAGTTGGGAGCACATATACTCACATGTATTTGTCACTTCACATGGGGGAAAGCGGGTCATGTCCATCTTTAAATAATTCCAATGAAACCTTTGATTTTTAGCAACATTAATTTATCTAACTGAACATCAACATGTGCTGCTACACTAACATGTAGTTGTCACTTAGGAGATTTTGTGTTCATCTTTAAATATCTTCTCACTTTAATGAAACCTTCGGTTTTTAACAACATTAACCTGTCTATCTTTTATAAGCAATTCTTTAATTTTTTCAATTAAATGAAAAAAAACACACACAGGATCTTAAATTTTCATAATACTTATTATTCTCATATACATAGTAGAAGAGAACTTACTTGGATCCATTGTATAGTTCCTTCCTGTCAAATGTTCTCCCTTCACTTACTCCTCTTTAATGCTTTCTTGATGATATAGAAATTGTCAAAGATGTTTTTCTTTCTCAAAGACACAGTTTCTTTTCTTTTCAGAGGACGTTACTTCGTAAAACCTTTTTCCTCTTTTATGATATTTAATCAACTTTAATAAAATACCAAAATGCCCTTTATTGGAGTGAGAAAAGAGGGATTAATTTTAATAACTCTAAAATAATCCCTATAACTTTAATACTTTATATTCTAATAATCATTACATTAGAATCTGTACATCAAAGTTATACTTTAAATTACATAAACCAATCTTAAATTAATATAATTTAACATTCTCTCATTCATGTGATGACTTGAAGATCTAAAACTAAACTTTAAGTGCGCACCATTCATTAGAATTATCAAGTCATCATTCTTATATGAATTGAAATGATCGGATCATGGTGGGCAAAAGTCATGAATGACAATATTCCTTCCATGTATCACATAATCAAACTAACTCAACATAACTTTAATCAATCTTTTATACCCTTTACTTTGCTCCTTTATTGTTAAGAATGTTTTGACCTTGAAGAAGGCAATTATTGTAAGTAATATTGATTTAGAACAATTCTAAAACCTTTAAATGCGAGTATTTCTCTCATTAGATAAAAAAACTTATTCATCAAACTTTAAGCAATTAGATTATCTCGAGCATTGTGCCTAATACACAAAGTTAAGTGAAATAAGATAAGCTTAAGGATATCATCTCTTCAATCACAACAATGTAATAGTTTTAACTTCGTGAATTTATCACAATGACACTACACATCTTATACAGCAGAATTTCCAACATACATCGTTTGCTGTTCATGCATTACAGCATTCATGTTAAAATAAAAATGCTCTAAACCATAATCTTCTCTTTAACTACAATAAACAGTTAGAAGGCTGTAAACATTCAAGAATTTATCTAAAAAAATAGAAAAAGAAATGAACGTATTGAAAGTTAATACATTATTTTTTATAAATTCTATTCAAAATTTTATAAAATTAAATTAAACCAAAATTTAATTCTTTAAAAAAATTCTATGGTTAATTTTGTTGTAACTTAATTGTGAGCAAAACTTTAAACTATCACTAAATATCATTTACTAACAATAGTTTTTAATTCTTTTATTTTGGTGAGTAATGTTTAAAGTGTCCGAAAAGAAGAATATTGAAAGTTTCACACCAATTTATAACATATAAGTGGATTTAAATTTTATCTTATAAATTGATTTTGTAAAATTGAGTTAGATTTAAAATTTATTTTTTAACATGATGTAAAAGTCAGGTTAGAACTATAATGTATAATTTCACACTTGTTATAATTTAAATCTCTAAAAATTATGAAGAGAATATATGATTTAATTTGAGGTTAACCCTACAATTTAATATGATAATATGAGGGAGAGTGAAGCAACAAAATTCCTAAATTTTGGTCTAAGTCCGAAATTTAATATGTGGTTCTGTTATATTCAATCTTTCAGCATTTAGGGTAAGTATCGATGAGATTGTAATGAAAAAGTGGTGTCTTCTTTGATCAGATCATGATTAATGCGGACAAAAGAAGCAGTCATTTCTTGCATGTTTATGCAGACAAATCCATCTCATCTTTTAATTTATACAACATTTGACATCTGTACTATCTTGTTTGATGAATTTAAGTTGGACTTTCTGAATTACTATCCATCCGAAAATCCGAAGATAGAAATTATCATACGTAAATATCTGTAGCGAGAAACATAATCTGGAAATATCTCTTGCTATCCATAGTTGTTCTGGAAAGTGGAAACGAGACAGAAACCTTGACACTGTTGGATGAATTCGGTGTTATGCAATGAAGGACCAAGGACCAAACACTTTTTATCTTCAATCTACATACACTCCACAAAGCAGAGCTGGGATTGGTTGGTGAAGTGTCTTTTTCTATGATCTGTTTCAGAGAGAAAGTGTGGTGAACTGTGGGCAACCACCTTTACATAACAGGGAAACAATGAAAATTTTTCCCGTTATGACTCAGTTTAATGAGGGAAAGACCAAGTACAAGTGCCTTCTTTTAGGACCATTGAAAAAGATAGATAAACTAAGTGCATGTGCAAAGTGGAACTTGTTGTAGTTCTTCCTTTGTGCATATGTATGCACACTCCAACTCCAAAAAGCCCCTACAAGAAAACACCCACGCAGATGCCATGGGTCAACAGGAGAAACTGTTCTGAAATAGCAATGGACCTTGCTATCCTGTTTGCAACTTTTTTACAACCATTATTGGAAATAAGAAGGTACTGTTCTCCCCCACACAACATCAAATCCAAAAGCAATGAAAAGCCAACCCAACCCTACATGACATATGCATAAACTCAGAAGTCAGATCCTACTTTCACTATCAAAAGGAATATAAAAGGTGGGATGTAAAGAAATCAATTGATATAGCAGTGAGCTAAGTGGATAAACATGAAGACTCCATCTTGCAAACCCCATCACATCTAATACCTATCCTACTAGAGGAAAAAGTATAGCGTATAGGATGGTGTTAGGAGCACACATGGCAGGCACTTCAAATAAAATTAGATATGATTTTGACAAGGGATGGAATGATTTAGCATTGTCAAACTTATATTTCTATAGGTATTCCTAAGATAGCCAGGAAACGATCGAACTTTGTAAGGAGAAAAGAGGAAAAGGAAGAAAATATGATAGTGGGGAATCCTAAGCCTGAAGGGAGCCAACAGTGAGATGACATAAGCATTGTTCCCTACAGAACCAAGCATCAACAGGTGGGGTTACTGATTCGGATGACAAAAAATAAAAAACATCCCATCTCACTTCCATTACACTTTGATACCCCTTTCGGTTAGTTTTTCTGCTTTTGGTCTAAACTTAAAAGGACTCCAATCAGCCTTTTTTTTCATGTATTCAACTCCCCTTGGTAATCAGAGCTATCTGAGAATTTAGGGGAAATGATGATCAAAGTAGATGAAATAATCGTATCAACAGCCAAAGAGCAACCGGTTGAAGTGATGAACGGAGAAAAGGACAACTATGGAAGTGAGGATGACAACCCCAAAGAGTGGTTGAACCTGAACATAGGAGGCACTTCACTCTCAACTGTTGGAGGCCCTGATGTACAATCAAGACCAACCACTACAAAAGTTTTTTCATGCAACTTCTGCATGAGGAAGTTCTTCAGTTCACAGGCATTAGGAGGTCATCAAAACGCCCACAAGAGGGAAAGGGGAGCTGCCAGAAGGTACCAATCTCAGAGGTCGATGACAGTAATGGGCTTCTCCATGAACACGCCAATTATGCTTCGATCACTCGGTGTCCAGCCCCATTCACTCGTGCACAAGCCATGCAGAGATGGTACTGTGGTGGCACCAAGCTTTCATGATGCACATGAAAGGCTTGCGATGGCTTGGACGCCGTTCTCGTCAGAGGATCAAACAGATCTGGTGTGGCC